AGACAATCCCTCCTTGTGCGCCTTGGTCTCTAAAAAATTAGATTTCAACAGTTTTCAAAAAGCCGAGAAGGTTCAGTGCAGATATTCATGAGTTTAAAACACCATTTGACTATTAATTTTTGCTAAAACAAAAGAAAGGAAAAACAAACCCAAAAGTCTACCTACAAACAAACCTCAAACTTGTTGAGCAAGCAAGGTTTTAAGAACGGGTCCAAGAAAGGTTCCAATCAAGTAGAAAATCGGCACTGAGATCAAAGTCCAGTAGATTTAAGGATGATTAAAATGCTGAAGGGACTCCAAGGAAGAGGCTGCCACCCCACCCCTAGAGATTCAGGCGGGGTGCACCATCTAGGCAAGCCCCCAACACCCTAGGAATGAAAGGAGGAGTTTTGGGGTGAAAACGACTTCTCCACTGTGCAGTTAGTAGTTGACCTTTTACACATATTTGCTGACATGTCAGAGAAATGATTTGAAACCGGTTCTTTGTTCTTTTCGAAGCTCAGGGAGGATGAGTCTGTCTCAGGTGCTCCAGGCTGGAGCTCCCGACAACTCGAGATATAGGGGCCCCGGGGAAAGGGGCTGCCACAGTCACTGTGGGAGCAGTTTCCCCCCTTTCCCCAAGAATATTCTAGCCCTGCTCCCGGCCAGGTGCGATCACTGGGGGAGATGAGCTTCTTGGGAGCCCTAAATCCTGTGGCTTCTTTTAAACTCCTCTCTAATTAGAAGCAGCTGTGAAGTCACGAGCGATTTTATCTGTCATGGGAAAGCAAACCCTAACCCCAACTTCAGCTGCCCATCCCAGAGCCACCAACGCCCCATAGTCCCTTTAAAAAGTGTTGAATGGGAAAGATAAAGAGCCAGAGGGGCGTGGGGGAGGGGCGGGGAACCCTGAACTGGGGTAGTGGGCTTTACATTTGTGTTAGATAAGTGTGTATGTGTGCATATGTGTTTGTAAGTCTCTCTCTCTCTCTCTCTCTCTCTCTCTCTCTCTCTCTCTCTCTCCTTTCTCTCTCCCCCCATGGGAGGAGACTAAATCTAGGGGACAGAACTGAAACAGAATTGCGAACGTCTTCACCTACTGAGAAATACTTGATGTGGATTCTACCTCACAGGCCGCCCGGGGGGTGGCAGTCAGATCCGTTAAGACGGGCAGTGCCCAGGACCTTAAGGGGAGGGGGCGAAGGCTAGGACCTGTCTGACGGCAAGCGTCCAGGTGCACCCGGCCTCTGCATTCTGCCCCTTCTCCCAGTCTTGCCCATCCCCCACCCCATCCCCCACCTCTAACCCAAAAGTTCCGGGGGCAAAGAAGCCTTGGAATGAGTTTGCAGACGTCCCCACTACACGAGTGCTCAAACACGCGCTCATACCCGAATGGGGCTCAGAGACCTTTTGCAGTCAGTCCCAGGCTTCGGTTCCCCGGCCAGGGACTGACCGGGAAAGCGGGTTAGGGCTGTTGGGAAAAGCTGGAGCTGATGGCGAGATTGCTGTGGCTATAAATCCATCACTTCCCAGGTCAGCTCCGAGAGGTGCAGGGACTGGGGCTGGCGGAGTGAATTCCTGGGCCAGCGCGCATGCGTCGGCAGGTAGCAACCCAGCTCTTTATGACCAGGTGAGATGTTGGTGAGCAGGTAAAAAAAAGGAGGATTTGCCTAAGCGATTCCAGGGAGCGGGCCCGATTGAGCCCTCCAGCCCATGCCCGGCGGGGACCGGTCGCCAGGAGCGCCAAGCCGCGATGTCGATACTTGCCAAAATGGGGGACTGGCAGGTACGGGGGTTTGCCTGGACTGGGGCTGAGGTGGGCGGGGGTGGAGCGGAGGAGGGGGCCAGGAGTGGGGAGGCGGAGAAGAAGCGCTGTGGCCCTGGGCAGGGGAGTCGTAGGTGAGGCACGCCTGGCAGCGCCCAAGAGTGCTCCCGGGCAAGAGGACAAGAAAAGGCTGCGCGGGCGACAGCCTCAGCGCTGGGGGCAAAGCGCGCTGCCCTCAGGGCTCTGCGGAGAGAAAAGTCCAGCGCACGCTCCACAGGTGGCCCCTGGGGTCACTTGTGGTTTGAGTTTCAGCCATTTTCCCACCCCCACCCCCATAGAAACTTAGGTGGATGACTAATTAAGAAGTGGGGAGGACGCAGAGTTAGGGGTGTGGGTACCCTGCTCGCTCTACACCCAGGACTGTGCACCATGGTGGGGCTCTGGTGCACCTGTTTCGCTTGATATCCCCGAGCTTTGAGCTTTGGGGACCTAAGGTGTGGGCCACATGAAAAGGGGCCGGGGTGGCCTTGTCGTGCAAGGGAGCATGTTCCCTTGAGACTTAGAAGAGTTTGTCCAAAGTTTGTTATTTTCTCAGTCGTCTTCCAAAAATGGAGTTTTGGCCTCTTGGGCTACAGATTGTGGGTGATCGCAAATTTGTGGTACTAGTGCCTGCCAAGGGCAACCCTTCTAGGCCGCGGTACCCCAAGGCGGAGTAGGAGATGGGTCCTGCCTTTCCCGAGCCACAGACCCAGAACCCCTACCCGGGAACTGGCAACCAGCCCTCTTCTCTGAGCTTCCACACATTCTCCCTCCGGGAGACAAGAATGGCTCTAACCAGGTTGAAGTAGCACCAACGCCTTTCCCCTGTCGCGTATTTCATAATCGGAACCGCGGGGCCCTCTTTTCTCCCCAGTCAACTGAGGCCTGCTTAGGGTGAGATTCTATAAGCCACAAGCCTGAGGGGCAATTTGAACCAAAGTCTTCAACCTTCCCAAAGAAAACCGAGAAAACTGGAGGCCCTGCCCCAGTTAGATTTTATTTTCTTCTTATTTTTGCTTCAAACTTAAGTCATTAACGTCATGAGTAGTATCATCTTCACTACACTCCCTGGAGTTGAAGAAAGGAAGGTCTTTTGCAGGTTTTCCTTTGTATTTATTACTTTTATTTATTGAGTGAATACTTTCATACTCCCTAAACCATACTAAATAAATGCTATTCCTCAAAGTTAGACTGACTTTGTGGTTTAAGGACGAAAGTTCCACACCAATCACAAATCCTAGAATGCAGTCCTTTCTCTCCCCACCCCTGGGGCTCACGGTTCTTTCTTAACTCTATTTCTGGGCACGGAGGATGTGTGGGGGGTGTTCTTTATTACTAAGTTCTGAAGAATTCTGAAATGAGAAGGCCCCCACTGCCCAGGGTCGGCTGGTCTGGGCCTCCAGTGAGACCATCTAAGGTTTGGAAGCCAGGGATTGTTGGGAGTGGGGTGCACCCAGGGCCTGCTCCTGAGAGCTCATATATTGGTTAATGACTGGAGCACCCAATCTGGAGATTGGAGGGAGAATAGCTTTGAGCCCCAAGGGACCAGATTTCTTCCAGGCTCGCGTCTCCCTGAACATTGATAAACAGAACATAAGGTCACTCTGGCCCTGTATTTCTTTGTTTCTCTCCGTGTCTCTGTCTCTGTGTAGTTCATACCCCCAGGTCAGGCCTAGAGTCCCACCTTACCTAACTTTCCGGGTTGGCGCTGCTGTCCAAGGGGACCCAGAGTCCCTGCCCAGCGGGGGCACTGACTTCAATGAAATGAATTGGGGTAATGAAGCTCAAGCCAGAGTGGCTCGCCGGGCTCAGGGGCTACTGGACTGCTCTCTCGGCCTTTCATCAGCGCCCACACTGCGGGCGGCGGCGGCACAGAGCTGGCAGGCCCCAATCAGCACGTCAATGGCGCCCTTGGAGGGAATACAACAACAGTTTAGTAGCCTTCCGCGAGTGCGGAGCCAGAAATCTGCGAGGCACTGGGCAGTGGGGACAGGGGAGAGGGTGGGAGTAGGGGTTGGAAAGGACATAAATCCTTAAATTCCTTCCCCAGTCCACAAACTGAAGGGAAAGAAAACGAAACTTAAGAATTCTCTTAAGTACCCAGGCGAGTCCGCGGGGTATAAAATCCCTGCCTCACAGGCCTAGGATCAGGCCTATAGGTCACCATGTAACAGGCTGTGGCTGTTGCTGGGAAAGTGGTGGGTGCTGGGCCTTAGGCCTTGGGCCTTGGGGCAGCCCTGAAGGGTCTTGCTTGGAAACTAACCATTTTCCCGGCACAGCGGGTGCCAAGCCTCTAGACTCATCAGCCAGGACTTCTTAAATGTGGAAAGTCAGCATTAGGAAGTAGCCAGGACCTCTGGCCAGCTCTAGCCTTACCTATAGCTTTGGGCAGATGGTAGCTCTAGCTATCCTGGGGTCTTGGGAAGAATTGTTCTTCTTCAGGGGTGAGTGGAGATGGGGTGGGACTCTTCCTCTCCCTTGCCTTTACACCACCTGTTAGGGAACGCTTGAATTTGCTGCAGCCTCCACCCCCATGTGGAATTCTCTGTGGAAATTGGGGAGGCCTAGAGATTTTTGAAAAATAGAACCAGATGAATCAGAGGTCTGAGGTGGGACCTACTGTTGTTGAGAAAAGTTTATCACATTTGACATGAGACAGAAGAAAACATTTTTTTAGAGGATTAATGGGTAAGTTTAGTTAGAGAAATCACTCTATTTAAAACTATCATATATTAAGTCTTTAAAAAAAATCTCACTTAGAAGAAAAAACAACTGCTGAAACAGGAGGAAAAAAAAATTATTGTGGTGTGAGTAAGCCCCTGTGTGGAGCTGGAGAGCCTGGAGTGGTCAACTTGGACAAGGGGGTGGTTCCCTGCCTCCAGGTTCCTCCTCAGCCGGCCACTGCGCCGCCAGCGCGCCCGCGTTAGTAACATCAAATCATAAAGGAACTCTTCCTTCTTTAATTAAAAAGGGGAATCTTGGGAAAACTGGAGCAGATTAGCACAGAGAAGAATTGGTTCCCAATGATTTATTTTGATGCACGTATAATACGGCATGGAGATTCGCAGGCGCTCCTGTGTCTGGGTTTCAGCTCACCCCAGAAGCGGCTGTGAGTCTCCCGAGGAGTTCTGCGTTCTTGTCCACTTCGTACCTGGGAAGCCTTAAAGCCCAAACACCACGCTGAATTGTCAGCCGGCCCCAGCTTCATACGAACCGGAGGAAAATCATTTAACCCCTGGAGCTGTCGAGTAACCTCTTCAGGGTACAACTTTTATTTTACACGCAGCAATTAAGAGATCGCAAACCCCAGCCGGGCAACCGGAGCCGTTTGGCAGAATCTCCAACCTAGGGGAAAGCGCAAAGCTAATAAAACTCCCTAGGCGCTGCGGCCGGAGGGGGTAGCTACTGACAGCGGAGGCGATCTCCTGTTGGGCAAAAGTCCTGGAGTGACTACTCTGGTCCTGGTTTGGTGGTTACGTTTCATTGCGAAAGGGATAATGGTTTCTAATAAAATCGGACCCGGCAGAAAGGGCAGATGGATTGTGGCGGCCGCCTCAGTGGTGTTGGGGTACTGGAAGTCAGTCGGTCCCCAGGCGCGACGGCTGGGACCCTGAATAATACCGGGCTTTACAGAAGGCATCTTTGGCGGGCAGGACCGGAAGAGAGAGGAAGAGGAGGGAATGAAATTGGGCCAGGGTGGAGGGCCCCTGGGGTAAAGGACCGAAGCGGAGCTCTGGGAAGGTGTCCTGGGCTACCAGGCAAGCAAGCAGGTATGCTGGCGTGCGCTCTGGGAGCAAGTTCGCGGCTTGAAGAGGCCTTTATACCTGGGTCGGAGCGGACGGCGGCAGATTGTGGTACTGGCGAGCAATTGGACTATTGTTGATATGCTAATGAGGCGATTAGGCTGTTGCTGAAGAGCTGGAAAAGGGAAAAGTTTCTACCATTAGAGGGAGATCTCCGAGCGCACACGGGAGCTCTTACCCTTCTCTCCTCCCTCCTCGCCCTTCTCCTCCTGGCCCTCCTCCTCCTCCTCGCCCTCCTCCTCCTCCACCTTCTTACCCTCCTCCTCCTCCTCGCCCTCCTCCTCCTCCTCTTCGCCCTCCTCCTCCTCTGTTCACTGCCGGCAACCGGCACTTTGCGCTAACCCAGAGAGTAGATCCACTTGGGTGCGAGACGCAGTGGGGCAAATCCGATCACGCCAATCCATGAAAATGCTTTGGAAACTGACGGATAATATCAAGTACGAAGACTGCGAGGTAAGCGCGGCGCCGGCTCAGTCATCCTAGAGGCCACAGGCTGGGAGGCCGAACCCCCCCCTCCCCCGCCACTTGCAGCCAGCTGCGAGATGCGGGTGGGACAAACTTTCACCAGCACAGCACCCGTCGCTCGGATTCTCCCGAAGAACGCGGGGGAGAAGCAGGAGAAAGAGGACATGGAAGCTTCCTTCTTTCACGTCTCTTTTTCCAAGCTGGTGTCCCCTTCCCCCTCCCCCCTTTTTTTGATCACTTTTGGCTGTGCCTGCGAGTAGGACGAAGAGCAAAGCACGGTTTTTTAAACCATTGCTGGCCACAGGGCACGTGCCTGTGCACTCCACGTGCTCCTGTGCAAGATTCTGGGGCCCCAAGTTGGCAGGATGAAAAAGAACAAGAAAGCACTTTCCCCTTTCTACCTCTTTTCTGACGTTTCACATTCCCTCTCTCTCCGTCATTCTCCCCCCCCCCCCTTGTTTTCCTTTCTTACGAAAGAGATTCTCTTGCGTTGGGATACTTCTCTCTAACCTGAGCTGCACCTCCCTGTAAGCCGGTTCAGCTTGGGAACCCACATCCGAGCCACTGAGCTCACTTCTGAGCCTCTGTGTTCCAAGAAGTTCTTCCCCTGCTGAGCAATGGGGTGGACACACCCCATGGTGGTGGTTGGGTGCGGATACTCTATGGGCCTTCGGGGTCTGGGAGAACTGGCCCTTACACTAGCTGTCGCTCAGCTGTGGGGCACTGAGAAATCTGGCGTGGCTGCCTGCCGACCGCCTTCGGTATATGGAGTCTGCCCTGCTCACTGAACGTGCCCCTTTGGAACCCATTTTAAATCCCAGGGCCCCAGAGAGGTACTTTTGGGCCAGCTAGGGAGGCACAGAAAGAGAACCATTCGCCTACTGGGAGGCGGCCTCAGCCTCCCTTTTACAAGCACCACTGAAATGAACTGAGGAGTCTTGGGGAGACAGTGGGGGTGGGAGACCCGTGATTCTCTAAATAACTATGCAGCAGCCTTGACTTCTGCTGGTTCCCCCACCCTCTTTTTCTTGTTGGCCTTTGGAACTGGGAATTCCGGCAGAGGCGTCTGCGAGCGGGCGCAGCCGCAGGAGTCCGTACTAGAAATCACCAAGTGCGTTTATGTGAAGGAAGTGTCACCCACTCCCTCCTCCCTTTCAGAATACTGTTTTTCATCTTTTTCCTTTCGGGCTCCCCGACTTCATGCCTCCCCACCCCCAACCCTGTGGATGGGGCACCGGGTGACATCCGACCGGTAGCAGGCGGCTGTTTGGGGTTCCTGTCTCTCACCCGGAGGGGCGCAGGGACCCCACATTGCACTAGCCGCTTTGTTTTCGAGGCCCCGGAGGCCCTTTACCGGCAGTTCGGGATGCCACTGCGCTTCTTAGGACAGTTCGTTTCTTAGTTGTCTGAGCTTCGGTACCAGCCTGGCACTTTTTACTTTCAAGGAGCTCAAACCTCAGTACTGGCTGCAGGCTCCCTGGGCTGGCAGGTTCGGAACCCCGACCTGGCTCAACAAGCCAAAGGACGCTGGAGGGGGAGGGTGGGGGGTGCACTTGAACCCCGAGAGAGACTCTTAGGGGTGCGTGAGAGTGAAGGGGAAAAGGATATGAAAGGAGAGGGATAGGAGAAAAAATAGTCATGGCTGTTTCAGCAACTTCGGCGGCGGCCGGCTGGCAAGAGCTGGAGCGGGTATTTGGGCTTTCTGAACCGGCTTGGGGCTGTCTAATTTAGCGCGGGCGCTGCAGGGACACGCTGGAGGCGAGGTGCCGCTTGTTCGTACTTCGAGGCGGGTAGACTGGCAGCGGCGGCGCTCGGGCAGAGCTAGCCCTGTCATCTAGGGGGTGTCGGGCGGGAGTGGCTCAGCCAGTCGGACGGGTTTGCGCCTGGAGCCCGGGGCCCTTGCCAGCGGCGCCCGGGCTGGGCCGCTTCGCGTCTGTGCGCGCCCAGGGCCGCGTCCTGGAACCGGGTCTCGGAACCCGGGGTTGGGAAAAGCCGAGATCCGAGCAGCCACAGCCACAGAGCGCACGGCCAGGGTGGTCCTGGGAAGGAAAAGCTCGAGACCAGGCGAAGGACCCAGGCCGGGGAAGCCGGCGGGCTGGTCCTAGGCTGGACACTGGGCCATGGAGGAGCCGCGCGGTAGCCGGCAGCCGAATCCCGAGTTCCAGGCCCGGCTGCGGAGCAGAGAAGCCCGCGGCCGAAGAGCACCGGGAAGCATCTCGCAGGCGGAGAGCCCGCCCTGCAGCCGGACGCGGGTCCCGGGAGCTGCAGCCGGCTCCGCGCGACCCCCGCGGCATCCCGAGGTCTGCCCCAGCCTTTTAGGTCTGATTGTCCTCCCCGGCTTCCTCTCCCCTCAAAAAAAAGGGCGCTCCCTCCTCCCTCACTCCCTCCCTCCCTCCCTCCCTCCCTGCACTCCGCGCTCCTCTCCGCTCGCCCACACTTTCTTTCTCACACACGCTCGCAGACACATTCTCCCTCTCCGCGCTCTCGACCCTCAGTCCGCCGGTCTTCCCTCTTTCTCTTTCACTTTTGCATGCCCTGCAACCTTTTAAAATGTTGCCCCTTCCCTGTGATTCGCCAGACGCCGCGCCGCGGCCCCCCGCGCGCTCGCCCGCTCCCTCTGTCGCCCGCTTTTTGTCTCTCGCGCTCCCTCTCCCCACGTCGGATTTGCTACACTGAGACTCCGGTCAATGACTGCATTGAGGGCCGGCTCCGGCGCAAGTTGCCTCTCCGCTTCACGCTCGATTTCCAGGCATTCTTCCCTTATTAAGTATTCGTGTAATATTAATAGTCATGAATATCTGCTATTAGGAGGCTCCAGGAACGCTGGCCAGCTCGGTTATTAGAAGCTCAAGCGAAGCCGCCGCTAAGAAAAGCGGGAGACACGGATTAAGGAACACACGCACACACGCGCGCACACACACTTTTTTCCTTTTTTGGGGGGGGGGTTCTTTTTCTTTTTCTGGAAAGAACTTTGAATCCCAACCGATCACGGCGGGATAGAGATCGTGGGTTCGACCAGCTGGAGGCGCGGCACGAATCGGTGGTACAAGTTCGGATGGATCCGAGCGGGGCCCCGGCGCTCGTGGGAGCGTCCGCGCGGTGACTGGAGTCCTGGGTGGCGCGGGGCTCTCGGCGTCTTTTGTGTGGGGCGCGCACGGCGCTGCGGAGCAGCCGGGCGCTCCAGGCGTGCTTGCTT